GTATTTATAAGTACACAAAAAGGTGTATAAATAATTATTGTTTGGATTAAAGTATTGAAACATTTGAAGGATCAGTTTTAGGACCCATAATATTCACTATGTATACCAAATCTTAAATAAAACAGCATAACCTACAGCACCATTTCTATGCCGATGATACCCAAGTAATTGACAGTTTAGCCCGAATCCTACGAGTCAACAACTTACAATCTGTAATTTGGAGCGTTGTCTGAGTAACATTAAAAAATGGATGTCAGCCAATATGTTGAAGTTGAATGACGATAAAACCGAACTTCTTCTTGAGGGTCCTGCCCAGAAACTAGATGTCTGCAACTTAAAAACTCTCAGGATGGGTAGTTCAGATATTCCTGTATCGACAGTTGTAAAAAACCTAGGTGTACTGATTGATTCAGGTCTCAGTTTCAATGACCACATCAATAACATTTGTAAGATTTGCCACTCCCATCTGCGAATGATCGGGTCTATTCGTCATCTCATAACAAAAGATGCTGCTGCTTGCTTAGCTCGATCATTTGTGCTATCCAGAATTGACTACTGCAATGCAGTAATTACTGGTATAACAGAAGACCAGATTTCTAAGCTACAGATTACTAAAACCAAATCAAGATCACACATTACTCCTGTTTTAAATGATCTACACTGGCTTCGTGTTCGTGAAAGGACCAATTTCAAAATTTTATCGCTGACGTATAAGACCGTCAACAAAACTTCCCCATGCTATCTTCAAAATCTACTGTCATTATACAAGCCTAAACGTTCATTAAGATCTGAAGGCAAAATGTTACTTGAGGTTCCTTCATACAACCTGAAAAAATTTGGCTCCAGAACATTTCAATATAGTGCATCAGTAATTTGGAATAAATAACCTAAATCGATTCGACAATGTGAATCTGTATCTGCATTTAAATGTAAAGTGAAAACTTGGTTGTTTAGTTATATCAATAACTCACCAATTGAGATCACTAGAATGCACCTCGTCATTATTTATTATTAATGTAATATGCAAGGCAATTAACTATTGATTTATTTAATTATCATAGAAACCACCAATTAATGTCATTGTATTGATACATACAGAATAAACAGCTATATTATCAATTCTGTTTTATCTATCCATGAATGAATGAATGATTTAATTACCTCTTCATCTAATTTATCTACATTAAGAGTGTTCTCATTTAAACAGGTTTTAACTTTATCGACATTACCATCTTTACACCAGTCAAATACAGTTTTATCACAATCATCAATATCATCATCCTCACACACCATTCTACTAACAGCAATACCTAACCCTGCAGTATCACCTCCACCATTTACATCCCTGGCCTAAAATCAGTGAGCAATATTAATATTAATATTAACATCACAATATTTATACTATCTCAGAAAGTGTATATATGCTTTGTTTTTAGCTTTTCATGAAAAACAGAGATGAATTCTTGAATAAGCTTACTAATACTTAAATCATGCCTACTTAATTGTTTGTTAGCATTGCTAATTACCGACCTCTTGATGTTGCCAGCCAGGTATTATTTTTGATAAATATTCAATGTAGTCCTTCTTTGCTGTTAGTGTAGGCATATCCTCTAATTTCTTCCATGCCTCCCTATAAAGATAATAGAGACTAGAGCTTCCAATTTATAAAAATTAACAATATCACTTATCAGTAAGCTTTAATAAAATTTAGTTCAGTATTAATGTTTATAAGTAGTCATCACATACAGAACTAATTCTGACGTCAATCAATTCAAATTTGAGGATAAAACTAAACACAGTATAAAATAACAGAAATTTAAAAAATCTACATCAAAAGGAGATAAAATAAACTGTTGTAAAATTATGTAGTACGGGTACCGTACTGTGTTATTTAAATAATTCGAGTAAAAACCTATGATGGTCATAGTGAAATGCAGGATGTCCAATTCAGATTCTTGTCTTAAGTTTTCTTCAATACTTTTGGGATATCCTGCCTGAGTGACCTAAGTGCATCAATTTGAGCACCTTTTCTAATTTTCATGTCATTGTAAAACATCATCCAAAGTTTTTTTTTAAATTATAAGAACTCACCATTTCTGTTTTCCTTGAAAGTCAAAGAAAGATGGCTTGGGTGTTTTACATCTTCCTTCATTTGCCTACGAAGTAAAACTTATGTGTTCATTTAGTTGATTGTGATCTTAAATGCTGGTTATACCTTGAGGACTTTAAGGGGACAGATCACAGGCACCTGTTTCTATCAATAAACGCTTCTCTCTATAATAGTATATATATGAGAAGGTGGCTAACGCTTCTCACGGCCATCTATGCTTCAGACGATTTTGTACCATTTACTGTACACTATTATAGAGAGAGTTGTCGATTGATAGAAACAGGTGCCTGTGGGAAAGATGCAGCATTTTTTCAAATCCATGTGTATCCAGAATAAACAGCATTTGAAAGTTAAAGACTTTTAAGACACTACTAAAGAGAAGCTATCTAGGGCCTATAGAAATAGGAAAGAAATTCCTAGTTTACATATTTTTGAAGGAATTATGTGATTTTCATGCATTTCTAGTAATTCTAGTACGTCTGAAGACTAAGCAAATTAACCCCTATCTATCTCTTTGAGGCACAAATTTTTGTATTTTAACTAAGTTTCGTGCAATTTGTTCAAGTTGTTATTAAGATTAAGATTAAGCCAAGCAAATTTCGAATTTTAGACTTTTCAAATGCAGAGCCAGAATGCAGATGAATACAAACAAACCTGTTTGAATCTGGCATACAAATATAGAAGATCTTCAGATTTCAATTTTGCAGCAACTACTCGAACAAATTCTGTTGCTAATTCAAAAGATTCTGTTAATCTTTCGTTTTCTAGACATTCGTAGTCACCGTTATCGGCCATGACAGTTGTTTCGGCCAAAAAAGAAATACGGAAAATTTTACGACATTCGATTTATCTTTTACTTTTAGTTTTGTCGAAAATTCCATTTGACCTTTGCTTATTCGTATTTTATAGAAATGATAACATGTAATCTAGATGTGATCTAAAATAATTCAACTGTATTGCGACAAACACAAGTCATTCCTTTTCTTAGTCTCGATTGTCTTCATGGAGTTCCTTAAAAGCAAAATATCGTCTGGTTAATCCAAACTAATATGAGTTAGTTCCCTTACTTAAAATGTAAACAAACCTTTGCAAAAAAAAAAAAGAATATAAATAAATTCTTAAATTTGCGCTGCACACCACTTTGCGAAAATGTGGAGAATCATTTATCAGTGTAATCTAGTTTGCTAATTGCTGAAGTCACGCAAAGGCATCTTCGTAATTGAAATAATCAGCCATAATCTGAAGAGTTACAGTAAACCTGAAACATTTTTGCTCTTGTCAGTCTTGTTCAATTGTAGCTGGCAGGGAAAGGCCGAAGAGAGGGAAAATGCCAAATACAATGAAAGAGTAACACTCCCTTTACTTTGCTACCGCAATTGTATTCTTAACACAACCATCATGATATAACCATAGTTAGCCCTACAGTAACAACAATTAGTTCTTCCCTAATAAATGTTGTGGAAACTGGGATAATGACATGTATTTAAACAAGATTGATTTTGTGTGAAAGTTAGTTCATTGTGTCTCCAGATAAGCCAGCATATGTTGTAAATGAATAAGAAATAAGAGGAAAGTGTTTCTTGAAAGGATCCATTATTAAATGATAAATGATCTATTTGCTACTATATTGATGTGTTATAAGTAATTATGATAATAAAATGAGTGTTATAATGTGAAGAAAAAAAAATAGATTTTCAGTCAATAACTGAAAGTCAAAATTGATTTTCAGAGGAATATTCATATGTTTTGTGTTGAATTGATTGATACAAACCTATTTTGCAGCCATACTGTTATGTGTTTTGATGAAGATACTGATAGAAAATGCTTCTATCTGTAGAAACATTACCACATTCCTATCGGTAGTGAAGAATTCATTCCATAAAATCTTGATTGCTGATGTCTTGACTAAGGCGTGAAAATGTTTCCCCTACCATTAAAAGTTAGGAGGTATCAAGGACCACATTCCTCTTGTTTATTAACAGCTGGCTCAAATATTGCAACCTCAACGAACAAACATAGAAATTTAAGTGATAATCATTTTCACCGAACTATTATCTACAATCATATAAAGTGTGTACTTAATTTCACATCAGGACTATTATCTATGTTTTTCTTTGCCAGTGTGGGCACAGCATTTATACTTGGATACATTTTAACTAAAATACTCCTTAGATTCCAGTATAAAATGACATTATTATTAATCTTCATGGACAGACAACCATTTGAATTAAAATTAATGAATGATGTTTTTATATTTTGTTTACATGTTATGTTATTATTGATAGGGGGATTTGGATCTTTATCAATATTTTTTGTGGAAATGTAATAATCATTTTAGAACATTTTTAATATTTTTTAAAAACATTTTACTTTTGTGTGAGAGACATTATTATTGATTAATGAATAAATGGAACAACTGCGTATTTAATATAAAATGACCTTTATCATAATTAATACAAGAAATGTGTTTATTTCATTCATCTCCAGTTTTATCCTTCATTAATGGTCGGTAGTCTCTAAGTCTAAACTCAGAAACTCCATGAAACTATACCAGCGATTCTTGTGCCTTCCCGAAGATCCACTTTTCACTGCTATATAAACCTATGAAATCAACGACCTTCTTTGTGCTACACCTGTCACTATTTCGACAGTACAATGGAAGGCATGACCGTCAGCATATGCCAATGCAGGGTCCTCTTAAAATGAGCAAAAAATGGAAGACAATTATGGAAGGCAGAATGGCTTTTTATTGGATGTTCTTCATTGCTATTTCTTAATTCTTAATTCCAAATTCTTATCTCTTAATTTACACGCTTAATTCAACATTTGTGATTGAAAATTGACATTTGTGTACAAAAATCCTCAAATAAGCATTTATGATTATAATCATGACCTTCAAATATATTCGACATGTTTTGATTTGTTGAGCGAGATTTGTATTTGAACATATGTTGGTAGAGTTTTGTGTTTGAAGATATTTTGAGCTAGATGTGTATTTGTAGATTTGTTTTTGAGGATATTTTTGGCAAAGATTCTATTACTTCAATAATTGAAAACAGAATGATTATCAAAGAATGTTCATTTTCGGTACAAATTATGATTTTTGTATACAAATGTCAATTTTCAATAACAATTAATGTTGAATTAAGCGTGCAAATTAAGAGATAAGAATTTAGAATTAAGAATTAGGAAATAGCAATGAAGAACATTGAATAAAAAGCCATTCCGCCTTCCATAGACAATGAAAAAAAATCGAGAAACATGAAACTTACTGATGTCATTAATCTTTCAAGACAGAAGCATCTCTTAGACTGACCAAAGCTCATGTATCACTTAGCAACCTACCTACCAAGATCTTATTACATCAACAAAAATAGGTAGGTAAAGTTATGGAATGACTTAGTAGGGCAGCCTCGTCTTCCAGCAGAATCAATCGTTAATTTCTGCAGTTTACGTAAAGCTGCGCAGAGCGAGAAAGACCGTTTGTGATGCAACCAGAAATCCGATACTATCTGAGCTATGACCTTCTGTGGAAAGTTTACCACAGTGTCGTAATAAAGCACGTTGATGGAGAGAGGAGGCTTGAGCATCTAATCATCTAATTGATGTAAATTTTCGCTGGATTATCGATCCCACCCGTATAATATGATCTAAAATCCAAAAGGGACGGTTAAATTCTCCCCTCCCCAACCCAACCGTCAATGAAATCCCCGCTACGACACTGACTACCAAAACGGCTTTATATGGAAATATAATTTAGTATTTATTGAATAACTTGAAATGAAATAAAAGAGACGATCCATATTGGAAAAATTGTTTCAAAAATAAATCAATGCTGTGAATTTGTTGTCCCGTATTTGAACTTTCCGGGAACGACTAATGCCAATTGATACGAAAGCCCACACTAGGTTGTACTTTTTGCGTTGAAACTGAATATTTTTCTGAGCATTTCTATCATTTAAAGTATTCTATTGCTGTGTGCTGTGATAAAGTCGTGGTGAGATTACATTGTATACAGGTACAAGAATCGATTCGTCGATATTTAAACGTCCTTATATTTCTACCATCAACACTTTCAACCGAGATCTGAAAAGACACGATATTTAAAATTTGTATCAAGAGGTATCCGTATTTCTGAATTAATCCCCGAGTACTTCTTTTTCTGATAAACTTAATTTCATGCCTTTCTGGGACTTCGGATGGTGTACTACATAATCATGAGAATGTTACAGGGTCCAAATACATGGAGATATTTAATTGTCATCTTTAGAAGATGGAATTACAATTTGGCGTTTATTTTGCCACAATCCGTACATCCAACACCAACCAAAAACATAAACTTAACTAATAACATAACATAAAATAATGATTCCAGAGTTGCTTTTCGTAAAAACTTTTAGTAAAGAAAAAGAATAATTCTCTCGTTTTGTGTTATAGTTTTAATTAACTTTAGCACATAACATTCCCAATCTACTATCAGACCATTTCTTTCATGTTGCTAAGTCACAATGTGAGCTTATCGCTTTGGCGATTTCATTTCATATTTTTGTAACTGTGATGGTTTGCGACAACCCCATACTTGTATCATAAAGTGATCACTGTATTGATTTTATATTTAAATACACTTAGGAAATATTGATCTGAGCCGTCGTTTCCAATTTGTCGTTTATCTGTCCGTTCACTTTCACCGCTTTAAAAAGAACAGTTTTCACAAAACTTGGTCATTATTACTCATGAATGAACAATTGAAAAAACTTACGTCATATTTTTCTGCGGTCAGCTGTTTGCTAATTGAAAACACACAAAAAATTGTTTTTCTTTTCATTTTAGACAAAAAATGATTTGCAATTGACGATTTTAGCTAAAAAAAAATGATAACTTACCCTATGAGCGCTTGAATTTCTGACAGCACAGCAGCACCCATCATGGTAACGTTTTATATAAATATGTTGAAAGTTGGTCAGCGCTAATCCTAGTTCTAAATCCACCATTGGTTCTAGAAAAGCAGACGTCGTCTCTTTGCATGCATTGGTATGAATAGGAACTGTTTTAAATCCAGGAATTTGAATTTCCCGATGTTGATGTATTTTCTGACACTCTGCCGTTGCGACTTGTGAAAGATGTGCCAATGTTAACAATATCAAGCCTAAGTCTTTTAATATTGCCTCCGGTAACATATCTGAAAGAAGGAAGGAAGTCTATAAAATCAGCTGCCTTGAATATAATATTATATATAAATATGTTATATATGATAGTTTTCATTCTGAGGAATGCATCTCAATGACAATATAGACAATAAAAATGGCAAATTGAAAATTACACAAATCAGATGAACAAAATGTTTTATAAGTAAGCTTGTAGTTCTGTTCTTATTCTAAAATTCTGAATTGTGTTATTCTGAAAAGAAAAAATAAAAAAATAAATTTGTCACTAACCTTAGGTCTGTTTATTGTTTTATATATTTTCAAGAGCTGCTCCGAGCTATTACTGAGACAAATACGAAATGATGTCCATGACAATAATGTGGATACTATAGTTTGATGTCTTTTATACAGATCAGCAAATAACACTGAAAAACCATTGTATCAAATAGACCGAAATTAACTCAACTGAACCATTCTCATTTGTATACATTATTATGACAGTGTGAGGTTTCAATTACTCAAGCAACACGATCTGAAAAGAGTTGGTCAATGGTTACAAGGAAGAGTGGGCGTTATTTGGCAGTAGTTGGGACTGTAGTTACGGGCCTGTAATCTAGATGGAAATGAAATGCAAAGTCTGATGTTTACACAGAGGCAAACCGCTTGGTGTCCAGTACTATTCGCTGTTTGTCTTTGAAAATGAAATATGTGTTTCTAATAAGGACGGTCGTAACTAAGAAATTTACATTAGTTGTCAAAGGTTACGTGAATTTGATGTGACAGGCAAGATGTTTGAATTTCTAAAGAAGCTGTTACCTGTATTCAGTTTCATATATGAATAAAGAAGCATATCTGTTGGTAAAAATAAATGTACAATTTGTTGCCATAAGGGTGAATACATTGACGTATGTACTGAAAAAAATGGATGCTCATTACTAAGACTACATCAGCAGTGTAATTACTGTAATATATTTTTATACACCCACATGAAATATATAAGGTACACAAGTCAAATGTCATGAAGTACATGTCGAACTAGCTTCCAGATGGTGACACTATAGCAGTTAGCAGACATCGATCTGAAAAATCATGGGTCTCAAATCTCAAAATGTGCTAATTAGTTGCCCACTAATAGTTGGCAAATTTATATGGTCTTCTTCGTGCTTCTTGATTTTGAAGATAGCCGAGGTAATAACACAGTTCACTCACTCAAGAGACAACCATTGAGGAAACAATGAAATGTCAAGAATTAGACTGTTCAAGGTCACAGACATACTCATCGCTACTCATTTTCTGTGGTCAGATAAGGGCAATGGCAGTTTTCACTGGCCTGATTAATGTTTTAATAGAAGTGACATAAGACGTTTCTTATATTTCCAGTGATCTTCTATATTAAATTGGAGAAAGAAACCAATAAAACTACCAATACAGTAGCTCAAAATGTTTTATTTGAAATTAAATATTAATCATAGTATAATAAAAAATAATACAAGAAATGCAAATATATAATCCGATGATCTGTCAGCAGTAGATAACATTAATTTTATCAATAATTTACATCAAGCGAATTCAAAATTGCGGTATATTGTATATTATAACATCTTTCATATTTCTTTATTATAAATATACATATTATATAATAATATTATTCACATACTTAATTGGTAGTGGTTTCAATACGGAAATGTTTTCAAAAGGAAAGCAATCGACCGACATCATTGTGTCTACCATATTATCTTAAATAACAAAATGCTGACCCTTTTCAATCAACGAACATTTATTAGGGCAGATTAAATAAGCAGTCTTTTTCCGTATTTTCCAGCCTATCCAATGGAACAAGAGTTAAAATGCTCTTGCCCTATCCCAATATAACAAGCGTTTGAGTAATCTTCATTAAACCATGCATATTTATAGGGTAGTCAGTGGTGAGCATTAATTTTGCTGTATGTGTTCAACATGGATCAGCGAAAAGCTGTGTAGATGAAACATTGATCCACATTCTAGATCGTAAACATAATATATATGAGTTATATTCAAAACCAATTTTAATCAGGAGAATATATTTGCCTCAAATCGAATTTAAAAAAGCTGTATCCTTTATGAGATTGTCAAAATTATTGGTAAAAGGGTGATATTTCACACAGCTTTTATTGTATATTTGCTATAATTGTTTATTACTGCAAACCTGAGCTACTTAGAAAATCGAGATTTTTGAAACAACCCAAGCAGAATTTCAAAAGTTTCAAATTCAAAAGCTAATATAGTCTCTGTTTATTTACAATGGTTGTTGTTGTTGGCGTTCCAGATAACAATCGTAGGTGGGATTTTCTATTCCAGAATCAATGGTGGCATCATCTCTATTATTGTCAGGAAATGTTATTCTATAAAATACATCAGTCTTATCTTCCACTAACTTATCATGTGGTATTCGATAGATATAATATCTGAAAGAGATCACACGTCAACTTTAACAACACTAATACACAGCATAAAGAGCAGTGGCGTATTTAGGTGCGAATCGGCCATGCACCCTCCAACCCCCCTGACTCCCCCTCGCCCCCAGGCCACGAAAGATCTTTTTTGAAGTGAAAATTAATCCCTCCAAACGCTCACAGGCCATCTGAAATCCGTTAGCTTTAAACCCCCGACCACAAGGGGGTCATTTTTGCCATCAATGGCAGTTGTTTCAGGTCAATGTCGATGGTTGACAATCAAAAGAAGTTTCCACTTCCAGTTCAGTCAATACCAGTCATTGTCAGTATTTATCATCAAGAGTCGTGGTGTGAGTCACTAGCAGAAGTTATCCGTCATTAACAGTGTAGTTATCAGTGACTAACAGTAGTTGTTCGTCATTGGTCACCAGACCCTAGCTGTAGTAATATCAGTCAGTAGCCATTGACAGTAGTTATCTTACACTAGCAAAGGTTATCAATAACTCCAGTTGTCTGCTACCAGCAGTAGCTGTCATTCACCAGTTGTTATTGACAGTGAATATCAGTTACCAGCAATCGTTGCCCGTCTTTGACAAATTGTGGTGATTTTATGACATTGTTGTTCTTTAAACAGTGTTCGTCAACTATATCTGAATGAAGGAAGTTGTAAAAAAAAATCTGTTTTGCCAACGTAATCACAAATTAACGGTTTAACGATCAGCAGAGTCGAGAGCAGGATGGTAGTTTGATATTAAATTTGCTGTGAACTCTGTCAATTTGATTAAATACAACATCTTATAGGGAAATAAATAAAACCCTTCTTGGCTTCTAATAGTTACCTTAGATAACAAATCAATATAAATAAATGAAAAAAAGCCTAATTAGGGTCGATTTAAAGGTGAAAGCTTCAAGTCATAGAAAGTACAGAATGTTATCTTTCTTCATAGAATATAAGAAGGGGATTAATGTAATCATTAAAGTATTCTATTAGCCCATTATTACAACTCTTATATTGATCATGACTTTTACAAGTAATTGTCGGTTCTTATTTCTGTTTGGTGGTTACGATAAACTTACAATGAAAACCTCAAATTAAGTTGGACACGACTATTTGTGTTACGTTGATGTTCAACAAAGATCAGAACACAACAGTCTTGACCACTATACCAGCTGTATAATTTGAATTTTATAAATATCAAATTTATCACATTATGCCTCTAGCTGTCTTGATTTTATTCTCGTGTTATAACATTGATATCATTTGTTTTTCATTATGCCTAGTTCACACCAACGGCGAATGCCGCGCTTTAAATCGGCGAGCAAAGCGCCATCATTTTTTGTTTACTTTTCAAAAAATATGACGATCTCCTAAGTAATGTTACGCTCTGATAAGCTCTGATACGAATTGGTTACGCTTTGGGGACGAATTATTTCCCGATTTGATCAGGCCTTGTTACGTTATAAATGACGCTTTGATAAGCTTTATTAAGCTTTGATGCGGTTATGACGCTTTAAATCACGGTCTGATACGATTATCAAGCTCTGTTGTGCATTGTTAAGCTCTGTTACGCATTGGAAAATTTCGAAATGGCCGATTTCATGCCGCTTTTGATCAAGTGGTGACAGACCATGAAGACTGGGGTCCCCGCTTTGAATAAAGCTCTGTTAAGCTTTCCTACGCTTTGAGTCAAGCTTTGCTGAACTTTGTTACGCTTTGTTAAGCTTTGATACGTTCTCGGCGCTTTAATCAATTCGTGACAGAGCTCCCAAAATTTTTAAACAGTTTAAAAAATCTTGGCGATCTTGCCGAATATCCAGCTTTGCTCAAAGCTTTCCAACGATCTATTACGACCCTGGCGCTTTAGTCGAGCTTTGTTACGCTTTAGTACCGCTTTGTACGCCGCTTTAAAGCGCCATCAAAGCGCCGTTGGTGTGAACTGAGCATTAGACTCACACGATTGACTTGGTTCAAAACAAACATTGCGTATGTCGCTTTGTCACATGACATTTTTTTTATCACTTGACCGCGAGGTTCAAATACAATTTTATTCCATGTGATGAAATATTGTATTTGATTGGTTGAAAACGGAAAATATTACGTAAAAAAATCGTTTGCGCCGGGCTTTAGTGGTTATATCGCCGAGAACCTTTAATTTTTATACAAATAAAATTCTTGAAACTTACTTTTTATAGGCCATAACGGAAAATAGAATTATTATGGTGATTATGATGGTTACTACAGTAACAATGGCCGCAATACTACCAGTAGATAAACTGCTTTCTGCAAAATTCAAAGATAATTTCACATTTCAATCATGATTAGTCAGCAGAAATGAAATGGTGCATTATAATATCCAAGAATAGGTTAAATCTAATACTCTTGATGATTTTTATCAATAGTTACAATGGAAAAAAGGAACAATTTTTGTAAAAGCAAATAAGTATTTTACAACAAAAGATAGCTTGCCAGACAAGGTAATATACTTGATTTTGAATAAAAATATTTGACAGTACAGTAACAATAACCAGTATAAAATATTTTTCGATTCTTCTAATTTTCGATAGGGTCATCCTAATTGGGTGATAACACTCACACCAAGTTTCGTCAATACTCCTCAAGAATTGTGCCTCCTAGAGTGTTTACGACAAGGGTGACGGATATATACGACCCCCATTTCATGTAGGCGTATAAAAAGCCGTTTTTCCAGAGGATTTGTTTGAAAGTAAAGTGTAGTTAAAGGAAAAGGCCGGAAAAACAAGATGTAGGTTAGTTCCTTACCCTTTTCTACAACTTCTGCAATCATAAATTTTGTTGAGTTATCAATATCCCCGCTGATATCTACAACGATAATTGCGAAGACAATAGCTATTCAATTTTTCAAATTCAACAATTTTACAAATGGGAGTAGTTACGTCGCACATCTAGACCTTTTCACCTTGGCGACATATATATATATATATATATAAATGGAAGCATTGAATTATAATTATTTAATTTTCATATCATTTTTCAAGATGTAACTGAAGAAAATCATGAACGCAAATATATTGTTAATTACCTGTTACTCTGGACTGTGTAGTTGGTAATGAAGATGGGGTTGATGAAAATGGTGATGGTGATGATGGTATAATGGATATATTTAATGGTAATGTTGTAGGAATTAATGTTGACGGCGGGACGGTTGACCTATTAATGGTTGTTGGTAATGTTGTTAATGATTTGGTTGTTGGGACGGAAGAAGTATTATTTGTAACTGTGGTAATCGTTGTTGTTGCTGTAGTAGTAGTTAAGGTAGTAGATCTCTGTATGGATGATGTTTGTGATGATGATACAGTTACTGTGGTACTTGTGTTTGTTCCTGTTGGTACTGAAACGAGCATACGGAACGGCACATTTTTTTTTCATTCAATGCATACATCTTAGTAGTACAAAACATCTGCCTCTGATGGATATTTTGACAGTTGTCGGCTGGAGTAGATTCAGAAAAAATATACCCTGTAAAATGGGGATTTTCCACACCTCCGAAGATGCGTTTTTTCTAACATTATATTAAATCAACTTTACGATGACAGTTACTTGGTGTTGAGCATCACAGTAACATTTTTTTATTAGTATTAGTATAGACCTTTGAACTTTTGACTGTGCACGCAGTTTAAGTGGCCGATGAAGATATCCGAAAAGTCCCCATTTTACAGATATCAGAGGCAAGAATAGAGACAGATACTTCGGACTAACATCTTAACAGAGACAATCGACATACATGTACATCTACCATGTAACCTAAGTGAGTTTGATCCCTATAATGTCATCCCATTGGCGTTTGTACTTCGTAGAATCGTTTAAAGGAATCAATCTTCAATTCTACTTGCATTAAGCTGGTATTACGTTTTATGAGCTTATTATCATCAGCATATCCATTCAGCCAAGTAAAGATTTGACTTGCCTAATTTACAGCTCTGCATATCATAGTCGAGTGTATAACCTGTTTGGCATTTACATGCATGATAACCATTGGGTTTTGGAAGACATAAATGGTCGCAGAAGCTGTTGAAGCACACACTCACTCCTATAAACAACCAAGACAAAAGGGTTCAAATATAGATCACTATCGTTTAATGAAAACAACTATCTAAATACTATAATAAATAAGAAACATTTATGAGAACCTGTTGGGTTTGTAGGAACACTGTTCGAGAATATATACCATTACAAATTGTTCATGCAGATAAATATAAGCAATTGACGCCTTAAAAGTTTTTGACTGTGAACTATTAAGACTGTTCTTTCATGCGGTTTATATATAATTGACAGTGCATTTTCCAGATTTACATGTTTACATTCCCCACATTCCCTACATAGCCAACAAACCTTGAACAATTTCACTTGAGTTGAAACCATAGATTCCATAAAGTTTTGTAAATTGTGGTGGTCCAAACTGTTCCACTGGTCCGCCATCTTTAGACATTCGAGAGACGAACCTGACAATACATTAATATTGCACTAATGATATAAATATTCACTCCAAACTAAACGTAACCACTAGTCAGTGATAATTTGGGTCTGAGACAGTAATATCTGAAACAGTACTGAGCAGCTGGTAATAAGATGTCCCCCTTACCACAAACCAAAATTTTGATGTGTTTTAATGTAATGTGCCATCTTTGATGTTTGTTAATGTTAAGGATTTATGTATTGCCTATCTTATTTTAATGAGAAAGTTTAAGCATTTAGCAGTTGCCATTGCGTCAAACTGAAACTGGATAATATGTTCTAAGCACATTATGTGCACTTTCACAATTGACAACACTCAGTTGTGTTTGGAGTCGTTCATGAATTCTCGGTTTGCGATCAACTTTAACAACAGGCCATATCTACCCATCCCAAGATAGCCTTTATCATCTTGTGCTTACGTTTTTCGCCAGTCTGTAAAATATAAGTATGACCCCATAGCAAATATACCAAAGAAATGGGCCGCCTCTTCTTGTTGTAGTAACGTTCTTTTATTCGTTTTATCCAAGTTGATACATTCAATTTTATTATATTTAGCGTCTGCCCAATACAGGATTTTTGCTACAAATACACCAATACATCAGGTAACATTCTGTAGTATCAGAACAAGGGACAATGAGTAATTGGGTGTTAATATTTAAATATAATAGTCAAGAGTTATTGAAGTGGGTGACTAACTACCATCAAATATCATGTTGCTAGTAAATTCGTTACAAACAAAGTTTGGCGACAATCAAAAGATACATTTCTATGCGTAAGCGGCATTCAGTCAAGACAGAATGACTAGAGAGTTAACAACAAAGCATATTAACTGATTTGATCGCTTTTTTTACTTACCTTTTCTATCAATTGTTAATCCATTTGGCCAAGAGTCCTTATCCAGCATTAAGAACGTCTGTTTATTAGATCCATCCATTTGTGCCATTTCTATTTTAGCTTCGAAACCCCAATCTGTCCAAAACATTGTCCTTTAAAAGATCAATATATAAAAATGGTAAAATGACTTCCGTGTTGTGAAATGTTTGACACGTATGTTGACTTCGTATCGTAATTAAAGTATAATTTACAAGGTTGTGGGCTCCTCCGACGCTTGTCGTTGTATTGGCGTAAGGGAACAGTGATGATAGGTTACATCAAATTTTATCACTTCTTAAAGCACAGCTATGGTGATTATTTCGCCTTCATAAAATATCCTTACCCTTCCATTGGTAAAACCACTATTGCTCTTGGTTCATCCAGTCCTTCATCAATAAGAACAGCCCGATGCTGTTTATTAGTTAAAGAGACAACATTGATAGTGTCTAAACCGGTATCGGTGTAATATAGCAGTCTGTGAATAATATCAAGAGCTAGCCCATCAACAACAGATTCTGAAAAGTGACAGACAGATGATCATACTCATTCATAACAATATATAATTGAAAAAATGGGACAAGGTTATGGATACCAGTAAACACAACGGAAATATTTGGAAAGAAATCAGGTATCTATATTCGCAGATTTATACAAGATAGGGGATACGATTCTAATCATATGTAGGTAACTAATAAATGAGGGTGTGAACAAGGGAAATTAAGTGGAAATGCCCAGATACATATTAAATTATGGACTTCCAAGGTCTAGATCATTGTTGCATGTTAATCCCTTAAAGGGGCATGTTCTCTATCCGTTTGACCAATCGTACCTTAGTCTAGAAACAGGCTTTTTTAGCTAAGCTAATCGATAATAGTGTTCACAGCTCACGATCGAAATTTGAGCTTTCAAATCCACGAGTGTCTGGAATAATCTGCGTCAAAAAGACTCGTCTTTTCTCGATATTCAAGATCTCCAAATCAACGCGAGAAATGGCGAACCTATCCCTTTAAGTAGAATGGTACATCTTAACCACCTACTTTGTGATAAACCAACGAGCATCTCATTCATTTGACCATCAATATTGGCGCCTTGTAAAACTCTAGCTTTATTGTCACTCCAGTAAATTCTTTGCGGCATCGGATCGTAATCAACAGCTATCGGATGTCCGATTGGCATATCAATGGCATTCACGCTACCACTCTTAGAATTTATTTGGTAGATTTGTTTCTGGTATGCATCGGTTACTATCAAAAAGTTAGTTCTTAATATGGCTAAAAAACGAATTGTAAATAAATGAATGAATAGAAGAAAAAAAGTTCTTACAAACGAGGAGATTAAATGGTTAAGCTATGATTTAAATCTAGTTCTTGTTCTGCCCCTTTCAACTGCTAGTGGCAAGAGTGTTTGAAAGGTTACTACATGGCACAGGGTTTGGTAGACTGTAATGTAATGTTTATCGTTCCATCCAGTTAATCATGTAAACAAAAAAAGACAAAAAAGAAGGCTTACTCGAAGAACATGTTCTACCATTGTCGTCAAGTTGATATCCCAATCCACAATCACAATAATATGTTAAATTAGCTCCCCTTAAACATAACTGTTCACATTCATGTTTACCATAAAGACAGGGTACTATAGATGAATAAAAAGTCATCCGTGCAGTTTAATAACAAAAAACTTAATTACATATAAATGCATTATATTTATGTATGTATTTGCGATGTATGCCGTTTTTCAAATTGAGTTGTTTCCATCTTGACTAATCCAGAATGGTTTTGAGATGTATTTCTTATTGACTTTTCTATCTATATATAGATTTTGGCTGCGAAATGGATATGTACAATTGTATTTAAAGTATACGTACACCCTTTATCAGAAAATAGAGGTTGATTTTGAACATCATAGGTAATTAAATCCGTAGCGACACCATATCCAGGGTGAATTATTCCCCTTTCCTTGGTCTTCTTATCCAGACGAGCCACGTGGAGTCCATTCATGTCACCAGAATCAGTCCACAACAGGAAATCCTGATGAATAAACATGATTACAATTCTCATTATGGTTAAAGGAAATTGGTCGGAACTAGCCACTGAATTCATACAGAGAAACTTATTTGGGTTAAGTCACCACGACATACCCTGTGTTTGTTTTGTTAAGGACACGCCGGATCATAATCACAGAAGATAGTGTTCAAGGGTAAATTTTAGCAGTTCACAATCGTCCTAAAGAATTTCTTGTCAATTTGATGGGGAAATGCGTCCTCCACGTTTCTCGTTTTCGAAGTTGCATGTTGGAGCGCCCCCAAACCTTCTCCCGCTCATGGCGCCTTTCACTTTGGTTTACACAAGATTCGGGCCCCGGCAACCATTCACACCTGGCGAAGGGGCTGGTCTAAAGTAGTGCTGGTGTATGACTATGTATACTGGGTGAAAGTTACTAAAAACTAAATCATTGCTTCCAAACCTTTTTGACTCAGATACTTGTACATCTTTCATCAATTTTCAACGGAAGCATTCTAATGTTACTGAGACCCCTAGGGAGGACCATCGATTGGGTCACATATAAGGGGATCAATGGGTTAAACTTGGTTTACCTTGAAGATGCTGATACCAAAGAATTGACTGGTGGGTGAGGTAAAATATACTGTAATTCTACCTGTTATAATATCTAGACATCTAATATGATGTAACAATGAATCTGTCCAGTATAACCTAAATAAATGGATTAAACTTAATGAACTTATCTCAAAGAGAAGCAAAACGGAAAACCAATTTGATGTATTCCGGTTGCAGGTTAACAGTCAAGTTGTCAAAATGCACCTTATCCCGGAATTCATATTCAACATCTTTCATTGACTCAATCTTTTCTTAAAAGGGATTGTAAACAAGTTTTCTAAAAAAAATATTATGTATATACCGGACACGGGTAGTATCGATTTGCACTATTCATATTTTTAAACAGACGTCAGTGGTTCTTGCAATTCCACTCAAGTATGCGTTTTATGACGTCACTACCGCAGGATCCTTATTGCGTTTCTGGTTTCTGGATAGTGCGATAGTAAGTACTTTGATATAATACCCTACTTAAGTATTATCATATATAAACTTACCTATCTTTCAGAAAATCTATGAACATATGATTAGGTAAACCGAGATTTGTATCCATGATTATAGTTCTATTAGATCCATCCATATAAGAACTTTCTACTTTTGGTGTTTCACCAATGTCTGTCCAGTATATAATTCTACAATACAATTTTAAAATAGTGCGTTACCTTACATGGACATATTAATAATAGAAGTCCCATTAGATGAGATATTTGTCCAACTTTCATTTGCAATTAACAAAAAAAATCAATTCTGTATAAAAGGTGATGTAAATGGCAATCATTTATATGATAGATCTGCCAATGAATTAATAATATTAGTAATTATGGTTCTATCCGATTATTTATAGGATTGATCTGCAAATGAATCAAAATTTGTCTCAAACTTTAGAAGTCAGACTTCATTGAAGAGTCCAGTTCTTACCCATTTCCAGGATGAGCGGCTATACCTAAAGGTTCATCTAATTTTTCTGATATTATGGTTTTCTGATGTGCACCATCTTTTCTTGCACATTTGATAAGTTTGTTGGTGCTATCGGTCCAGAAAATGTTGCCAGCTAACCAATCTAGAGATAAGCCTGAAAGAACCACCCGAGTATTTTTTTGAAACGAATACACCTATATTTGGATGTATTACATAGATCAGTATAGCTCTAAAGGCATTGGTTTTGTCCCATCAGAACAACTAGAACCATCCGTACAACATAATCATTGACAGAGTAGGATGTGTAATCTTAGTAATGACTTAAATCATTTTGTAGTCATTAGGAAATATGAAATATTGATTGATTGATGTTTAATAAATTTAATAATTACAGTCTTTAGAAATGGCTTTACCTCTAACAACACCAGTTCCTCCTATAATTGTGGTTTCATTGGCACCGACCTCAAGTCTGATTCTACTGATAGTTTTAGTACTATTTGCCGAGAAATATAAATTATTATCTCTGGCATCATATGCTAGAGCTAAGTATCCACGTCGCTCTGCCAGGAAACACTGATTTTCTAATGTAACATTGGTGAGAGAAATATAAGCCAAATTAGCTGGATACTGACATATAGCATCACTGATAGCATAAATATGACCTGGCATACTAAACGTCATTTCAACTGAAAAAATGAAGTAGAGAAATAAGTAAAGCATATATACAGTCAAGTAACCTAATTTCGTGGAAACCTATTATTCGTGGATTTCCGGAAATGGTTAATAATTTACGTGAGCGACCTTGCGCGACCTCCGCATTAGATTGTTTTGATAAACATGGGTTTTCTCTACAATGTCAGCTAGTAGAATGAATCCAGTAGTTTCAAGCAAGGTAAAATGTATCAATGTATACTTTGACAAATACAAAATGGCGGATTTCACTTATTACCAAACGTCACAATTTTTTATCGGCCAAATTTCCTTATAATCCCAAGCGGTAATCGGAATTCCAAGTGTCGTCTGCTAGAATGTAGTCCAACGAATGAAGTCACGTGATCATCTAGCGGATTCCGTGTCAGCAGAAAATTTCTATGGAACACAAAGTGGATCATATTCTTATGTTGTTTCAGTGACTTTAAACAATAAATCACGCTACGTATCTTATTTTGTCAGTCACTATTTCTTTTTTAAAATCGTGGTTCTTTGAAGGAATTGTCACTAGTTATAATGAATTGATATTAAAGATAAATACTAAGAGAAGTTAATTATACCACCCGGTATCCAAACAACGTGTTTTTCTTGACTTATTTATAGATCAAACATTGTACACGAAAATAGGTTACGCATTCTGCCGCCGTTGCCGAGTTGGTTGCTCATGAAATATGGGTCAAAGGGAAGGATTCATAAAGAAAATCGAAATAAACCAATTTTAATTATTTTGTAGAATATCTGAGGAAACATCTAAGATATAAAAAAAAATTTCGTTTTTTTAACTTTGACGAAATTCGGTGTTGAATCCTTATATCCACGAAAATAGGTTACACCACTGTATAATATAATCTTTTATCCGAAATTTGTCATGGATTACGAACTTCGTCCTATACCTTTGTCTGAGACAAAGTTCTTCATAGCTTGACTTTTTTAAGACATTTTTGAGAAGGTCACAAAGCGTAAAATGAATGGCAAACTGAAATACAAATTTCACCCCTCCAAACAGCCAAAGTTGAAATACATACGTGTACATGTAATACCATCATCATTAGTGCTATACCCGTCTCCACAAATGCACCTAGCACCAGTTAAAGGGTCATTAATACATATCTGATCACATCCTAATTCATCACAAACACCTGAAATATAAACGATGATACATTATCTGTTCACAATCTAATGTATCGCAAACACCTGGAATATTAACCATGGATAAAAACCTTATTAATCACAAACACCTGAAATATAACAAATGATACATTATCTAATCAGAACCTAATGTATCACATCACCAGGAATATACACAGTGATACATTATCTAATCACATCCTTATTCATCACAGACACCTGGGATATACACAAATGATGAATTATCCTAATCTATAACACACACCTGCGATATAAACAATGATAAATTATCTGAGCGCATCCTTATTCATCACAAACACCAGGAATATACAGAATGATACATTATCTGATCATGTCCGTATTTATCACAAACACCTGGAATATAAACAAATGATAAATTATCTGATCACATCCGACTTCATCACAAATACATTATCTGATCACACCCTAATCTACGACACATACCTGAAATATAAAAAATGATACATTATCTGATCACTTCTGAAATCATGACAAACACCTGAAATATAAATAATGATACACAATCTGATCACATCTTAAATAATCACAAACACCTGGAAAATAAATAATGATTCATTATCTGGGGACTTATTCATGTGCAAATAACAAAAAAGTTAACAACTATATTGGACCATTTTCAAGATCCTACAGAATCGGTCATCACAAACACCTGTTATATCAACAATTATCTTGTAAAAATGTACCACAAAACATCCCTAAGATCTATAAATATATTTGACATAGTTTTACGTAAACCGAAGGTTGAAAGTTGAAACGGAAAGGAAGTAATGATTTAAGTGTTGTAGTACTTACTCGAATCGCCTGGTTGAGAGTCTTCATCGTACATTATAATACCATAAGGAATATAAGTTAATTTATAAGTTATATAAGTATCACCAGTGTATTTATTAAATATCTTCAAATGCCCTTTCGATTGCTCAGTTACAAATATATATTTCTGAAATAAGAGTAAATCAGTTTATTGAACTTCTCGTATAGACACACAAGTTGCATGCTTTGATCAGAAAAGCGAGCTGTTAGTAAAATATCGAGATGTACAATAGAAGCATAAAGCATCTGAAGAGAAGGAAGCATCACCTTCTATTGAAAACCAAAGTGTTATCTCGTTTTGAGAAAGATGTGATTAGTCTCAATTATAACGAAATTTCCTTACATCATATAGAGCTATCCCATAAAGATTGGTTCCATCCTGTGGAGAAACTGTCTTTCTGTTCATTCCATTGAAAGCTATAGATTCTATTGTATCTTTCTTACTGTCGACCCAAAATAAGCGATTGTCTTGATAGTCTATGACTATACCCCTTGGATGAAGTATATCTGTATCAACAATTATTCTTCTATTCTGACCCAGTAAATCTGACATCTCAATACGCGGTCTCTCACCCCAATCACTCCAAAACAAATATCTATGGTAAAATTACAACGATCAACATTATCATCAACAGCATCAATTATCAACGGAACCATGGTAAAATTCTGAGACTCTTACGGTGTTATTGGGTAAAGAATGCCTTGTTTCGATCCTTGTGTATAACGTGACCCTTGGTGTGCTGAATTGCCTACTCTTAGATATTGAATAAATGGCAGTGCACGAAGATGGACTTTAGAATGAAGTGCTGTACGTGATACATGGCATGATATTGATGATAACATAGTTTGGACTCATCTCCTGATTTACATAAGAATAGTAAAGGTGGTCCGTGATGGGTGTCAAAGAAGGTTTTAGACAACTGGTTCGACTGTGTAAACGATAATTAATGTTTTCGTGATCTTTGCAGTTATTCATCCTCTAAATCTTGTAGCTCAGGACAAAAGAAATATTCTAGATTGGGGCATTGGTGGTAAATTACATTCTTAGTTGATATGACGAGAATTAAAGCACTGTATACATATTGACAAGGAAACATGGTTATTGAAAGATATAATATAAAGGGTCTAAAAATTTGTCGTGCATATTCTTACCCTTTTTGTGGATAAACAGCTAGTCCGTGTGGATTATCAATACCATCTTGAGCTATTATTTTATAACATGTTACATTACTTGAGATTGGTGCAAGCTTTATCCAATTAAATAACGTATCAGTCCAGTAAATATTATTAGAAATCCAATCGACCGTTAAACCTTCCACATCAGGTGAAATACCGGTCACAATTTTACTTGTATCAGTTGATCCATTTAAAACTAATCCTTGGATTCTTTTATTCATTGATTCACTCCAGAATAAGGTCTGTTTAGAATAATGATAAGCTAAACTTTTAAATTGCCAACCAGCATGCGGTGCACCTATATGATGTAGTTTCACTTCACCAGTTTTAACCCATTCTGTTGGATCACCTTCGATACCAACCAACCGAGACACTTTTAATCTTAATGTTGGAGTTTGAGCCCAGATTAAATTTTGTCCATGTTTTACTGCAAAAAAGAGAATCTTTGGTGTTATTAGAACTGGAGAGAGTGTGATTTTTAACCCTTTACAGTCACTTGTCATTGGTTTTGTTTAAAGATAAGGAATGACACGGAAACCAACCGGTAATAGTGATTGATGCTCCCGCTGAAACTTTTATCAATGATTAAATTAGATTTATCGTGATAATCAAATATACAGTATCACCAAAATACACCGCAGATTGAAATTTAGTTTTACTATGCCTAGTTATTACAACGTTATAAAACTTTTTTTCATATTTTGTTAACTGACAAAAGTTTACGTAAAGAAGAATTAAAATTATTTAATAGAAAATAGAACTTACTTCCTTCCGAATATTTTGATATCGAAAATAAAAATATAGAAAGAGTAAAAATAACTTCCATTTTGGGTGTTTTTGTAACACGAAAATTTCTCAATACCAATTTTATGGTGATATCAATTAAAATAAGTAAGTTTGTCAAGTAGAAGGATCCTGCGCATGCGTCATAATAGTCGACATTATAGAAAACCGGACATTGAGATCTATCTGCAGATCTCGTATTTATACGAACTTCCGGATAGTTATATTTATCTCATTGATACAGCTTGGTACACAATAGTTCAATTAAAGATTCAATCAAGTATATACTTCGTTTACACTCAAAACATAGTATATGTCTACTGATAAAATAATACACGTTGTTTAGAATTTTTATATTATCTTAAGAATTCTAATTTTCTGGAGGTGTTCTTCACAGTAGAGAGTATCTATCTTTGTAATAATATGCTCTCTGCCGATACCCCTTCCAATACCAGGAGTTGAAGAACTAATATTGCATGAAATTATACCATGGATATTTAAGAATGATAAGCAGAAACCTTTGCTTCACATATTAGGTTGTTAATGATAATCACACTGCTTGTTTAAAGTCTACAAAGTAACCCGACAAAATCTGGCCCTACCTGTTCCCCGGGCTTGATAAACGGATTGGATATCGACACGTTTAGGACCAGACCTAAAATTAAACTTTTATGGGAGTTACGCTAAAATTGGCTTTTATCCTGGTGAAAATTGTCAAACAGTGTCTATTGGATTTTACGTCTGGTCATAAATGTGCCGATTTTCCATCCGTATATCATATCTAGGAACGGATTAGAGGTTAGGCTTTGTACTTAATTATGACCTTTGTTCTAGTATACTGCCTAGCCCCTGTCCATGATAAGTCTTGGTAATGTGATTGTGAAACGTAAATTATAAATTTGTCGTAATGATACATTGACTTAGGGCCAATACACTTAACTCTATGCTGACCAAGTCTGGCTACCAGATAATTTTATAAATCACAGTAAAAAACAATAAGTTTATTGAAGTAAAAAATATAAAATTTGTTTGATAACATTGTGATAGAATACTCAAATAATAAAATATAATGACGTTATTTTGAATATATTAACATAATATTATATAATATTTTCTAACTAACAAACAATAGAAATGCATTATAAGAGTCCTTTTACGCACCAGAAAGGCAGAAACTGTACAGATTATTTTTGTATTTTACAGAATTCCCGAATAGATGGTTTTTACAATATTATGCAGATCTGACCAGCTTATATATCTATGTATATGAAAGTGCAGAAAAATGAGATCGAAGAAGAACTATTCAGTTGCGAGGCCTGTTCTCTGATAAATGAATTATTTCAATATAGAACGTCACGACAGCGACAGCGATAGCTTCTAATGGACACAGAAATACAATAAGAATGGGGAATAAGACCCTTTTCTACCAATCTAGTACATGAAACTGTGAACTATATTATACATGAAAATAAAAGTCAAAGGCAAGGAATGTGTATTGCATAAATCTTAAAGAAAATTCAAAGTAATAAACAAATAGATAGTTTTGAAATTGGAAATAACATGTCATCGTTTCATTCAATCATGGAAACATCTTAACCTCTTTGGACGAGACTTAACATTTCGATTGCAACGCTTGATCTGAAAAGGGTTCATTAAAAGGTTTCTAACCTATGTATAATAATATGGTAAACTCATAGGTTCTTTTTTTTTTGCTATGGGAATGGTGCCAATGAAATTATACTATGTATACACTTAAATAGGCCAGAATACCTCTTACACCCTTTAAGACTCTGTTCCTGAACGTACATTATGTCTAGAGTAATACGATATACGATGGACGATGGACAAAAATTCTAATGCTTGCCAAGTTTAAAAGCACTGACGGCTGCTAGTTTTGCCTTCATATTTTCTTTCTTCTCAACTACTATTTTATTTTCTGGATCAATGTCTATAGCATTAGCATCAGCTACAACTCGAGCTTTTATGTACCCACGGACTATAGCTTCAGTTACATGGACCTTTTCTTTTGTTGCATTATTTGTGTATTCACCAGTATCTTTGTCTAATATTCCGATTTTAATAGCTTCAGCAAATGGAACCTTTTGTTTGTTCTTTTGATCTATCACACCATTTACAGCGTAAGTCTTGGATTCTACGACAGGTTTTTCATTACCATGAGCTTTGTGGTATTCTACAAGAACTAATCCAGAAGAAATAGCATCAGCAATGGACATCTTTTCACCATGTTCTGTTTTGTAGGTTGATTCTCTGGTATTAAGTATTTTCTTTTCTACAGCCTTTGATACACTCAGTTTCTCTTCAGTGGCAGGGTCAAGAACACCAAGAATGGTGTAAGGACGGTTTTCTTTTGTCACCTTAACAGTAATTAATCCAAACTCTTTCTTCTCCTCTCTAATCTTCTTCTTGGAGATGAAATCCATTATAATCAGACCTTCGTTCATGGCTTCACTCATTTGTATTGTGCGTCTTGTCTTTGTGTTGTAGTAAGTTCCTCTAGCTTGGTCTACTATATTCATCATAACAGCCTGTTGTAGTGTTAGTCGTTCTCCAGTCTTGGCATCAACAACTCCGGTTATAACAAATGTGTGTTGCTCTTCCTCTACCGACGTCTGAACTTGATCAGTGATGGTTTCTTCATATTCTGTACTCATTGTCCATTCCTCTTCCACTTCCATTGTTGGTGTCATATGCTCTTTTGGTTTTTCATGAAGAGCTAAGGAAGCTTGTTGTTTTTCAATCTCTGGTTGAACTCCTTTTCGTTGTTTGGAAAAGTCTTCAATACCAAGATTAGTATCCCAGAACCTAAAAGGTAAAACAATATTGTAATTCATAATACGAGTAGGCTATTGGTGCTTTATTAGTGTATCCATGTGTCTCGAAGAAAAATAATTCTTTCCAGATACTAAGGATTAAGGTCAAATGTTTTTAGATTGAATGCTTCGTCTTTCTTTCAACAGCGGGTAATACTAGCATATGATATGGGGACGATCCTCATAAAATACTGTACTAAAATATTGTGATACTCACGTAACAAAGTGGGCGGTTGTAATATATCGAAGTTGTTCCCATTTATCACAAACTAACAGATATTTTGGTTGTCGTAATAATTCTACTACTGATTTATTGGTTTCCCAGTAGGCCCAGAAATCCTAGAAAACAAGACATTAGACACATATCTTAAATACCAAGAAGAATAGTCAATATGGCGGAATTGACAGTTTTCAATCTTGAGATGTCAAATCTGACAGAAATTTTAGAAAAGCAACATCAAGTTGGGCGAAATGACACGTACTTCTCTCCATTCATCTTAAGGACTATATATTTACCTGATATTTAGTAAGTAATTGTTCTAGGTATTTTATCTGTACAACTACTGTAGATACACTGGATGAATCTAGAAAATAATATTATGGACATTATTGGAAGAAACACATGGTGAACACGAGGGCTTGCATCAAAATACATTTGGAATCGTGGAAACTCTCAAGTAAAACTTATGTAATACTTTATCAAATGAAACACATTTACAGCCTTCTTGTCTGTTTACAGCACAGCTGACAGAAAGGGTAAGTATGTCATGTCGTGTCTGGATACCAATAATCAAAAGTACTAAGGATCTGAACTGCAAAACGAAAGCCGAAGTCCACAATAACACTTTGGCAATATAATGGTCAAGTAGCAGCTAATGGACCATGTAATGAGTATAAATGAGGAAAAAAAGTTGTATCATGTATCATCGTACATAGCATATTCGGAACTTGGGAGGAGGACAGTCTAGGCAACTATAAGACTCAATCGGTCATATTGTGAAAAATCTGCTCCAATATTAGACATACCAGATTGTGCAGCTTCAGGTGATTCCTCTATTATGGTTCTAAGTCTATTGATTCTTTCCTGTAACTCTTCAAAATCTCCATAACCATCCCAGTTCTTAAGTAGTGTGTCCTCCAAATATTTCATTATTCTTAATAATTCAGCTTTATCTTTTTTCGACATGGCTTGTAAGGCAGAAATCTGAAGGACATGGGTTGATTTGATTTTACATAATAACACAGAGTTTTACCATGATCGATAGTTAACAGCATAGTCAGTTCAGGCTCTGTCAAGTAGGACGTAAAACTCCATTCATTTCATTTCATTTCAGGCCTTTTTCGCTTCTGAAGCTTGAGAAGTAGTAGTTCCTCAGAGTCATTTCTAGTGACTTCTAATACGTTTATTAGCTTGATTAACTGTATAATTGATAAATTGATATCTTGGTGTCAAATTGATATAGAACATTCGGAAATATGAATGGCTTGAAAACACTTACTTCTTCTGAGTTCCAATCACGGAAGACAAGTAACATAAAGGCGATCATTTGGTACCCTAATCGTTTGACACTGTTTGTCCATAATGCTAGCAGTTGCAGTCGTAATCTGAAAAACAATAGCAGACATTTTACAGAGAAGTTTTTATACCACTTAGTGATAAGTGGAATTAAGTCATTCGGATAGCTTAAATGGTTAAAGGATACGTTAGTATATATTTTGTATATAATCAAAGTCTTCACTTACCTGATAGCAGCGTCAATAGCTGGACCAGAAGGGCCTGGTAACAATAAAATAACAGAAGGTATTTTACCAACTTGACCTCCACTATTTTGTACCTGAAGCAATACATTTACAGAGTTAAACATGCATCTTGGTTGGTCGATACCAAGTCTGTTTGAGTGCCTAAAACAAATGAGACATGAAAAGGTGGGCGTCTAAGGATGTGCCAAAGACATTGAAATGAATTTTTTTACTGCGAGAGTTATTTGAAATGTTCTATCTCAGAACGTCTACTAACTTACCCTCCAAGATTTCTTATCACTATTATCTAATAAAGTTAATGTATCACCTTCTGAGAAGGAAATCTGAAAAAATAAATTTTAAACGGTTCTTGAAATACCAATAAATTATGTCCGAGTTTATTACGGACAAAGTAACTGAGATCAGTTGCGTAGTGGTTAAAATGATAGTATGCGATGTGTTTGGACGAGATGTAACAAGATGAAATACTGACCTCATTAGTGTTGAAATCAGTAAGAGCTATGACTGGACGTGGTTCTTGTACTTTATTCAATCTCTGTGGTACTGGAACTAAATCTTTACTACGATTAAACAGGGTATCAACTTTCGTTTGCCATTGTAGATAAGCCAATAACACATCCTGTAGATTGAAAGATTAATACCAACATGTGATTTTCGGGCATAGAAATATAGATCTATTTCAAATAAAATACCCAAGGCTCTTTTTTTTTACTGTGTGGGTAAATGGGGCATTAAATCATCTAATCTAGGTTAGATAAAAATCATAAAAGAACGTAAAGAACTAAATACTTTTGAATAAATTTTACAATGTATGTTTGTTTAGTTTTGTTTCAAGTATGTTAACTATGTTTCTGAATACTGTTTATCAGATTTTAATCCAGTTTTTAGATCATATATGATGTTATTATCTGTTTATTTTATGTTTATTATCATATGTTTTACTCTGTTAATAATTATAGTGTCTCGTAAGTCTTCTTAGGCTGGAAACCATTTTTCTGATATAAATTATTCATAAATTGTCTAGTGGATTGTGACTCTTTAATAAATAAATGAAATAAAAATAAAATGAATAAAAATATTAACAGACGTTGCTGTACACAATCAGTGGCATGAATCTCTTTGATTGTAAGTGTTTACTATATCGGCAACAGACTTTGTCAGTGTAATTGTAAATGACATTAAATGTGGAATATACTTAACATTCCTTTACTCATTTTTTAAAAGATAAAACAGTAACTGTAAGAACAGTCGTTAACAGGCGCTATTGTCTACCAATTTTTGAAAGTATTTCAAGTGACAATTTTATTTTACCGGAACCAGACTTTTTTCATTTCAAATGTAAATCATATCTAATACGGAATATACTTAAAATTCCTTTACTCTTTTTTAACATTAACAAACAATCAAATAACTTTCGTGTATTTCACTAAGCCTACAACAGGAAGATATTTATGTAATTTGGTTATAATTATAATGAAGCATAGTTCGATACTAAAGTTTAAAAACTTTCAATGAGTATCTTCTCTCCAGGATGTATCTGTTGTAGTTTGAGTAAACTATTATGCAAAAAGACCCAACATTTAGTCAACGAAGGGGTATCAAGTTCAATGTACGAAGTATAACATTAGCCGTTATTACTACGATTTCTGTTGAAAGGTTAATATTACAGGAAACGGATGATAGCCCACTCTTATTGACCTATCTTTAAGGATCCGTAATATTAATAACACTAACATAATTGAGTTAAGAGTAATTGTCGTTTACAAAAACTATCAGCGTAACAATTGTTTTATTTTTTTTATAAAGACGAGTATATTTTGATTTTGTTTGAAAAAGTACAATTTATTCACAGCATTTATTTTTATACCAAGTGTGTTCATAATTTTGTTTAAACAACGTTTGTTCAGAGCAATTTCAGAAAATGCTTTCAAACAAAATATAAAACACATGAGAGTAGTTTTTGGTTTGATCAATACGGCGGCTTGGGACTATCGGTAGGTTATGACTCGTTGAGAAGAATGTAGATAGCTGTGACCCCAATTACAGAATGAGAGTTGTTTTACCTTCATTTCATCCATTATAGCTTGAACATCAGCTCTATCACCATTTAACTTGGACTTATCAAACGTTGTATGTATTCTAGATAATGTTGTATCCATCCAATATTCAGCCTCTTCTACCTCGTGGAAAAACTGCAAAGTTAAAGGGTTTCGATTATTTGGTATTTCATCAAAATGGAGAAAAAAATTCTATTAAGAGCCCTGCAAAGACTTTTACAATCGTTACACAGCACGTGCTGTTTTACAGAAAATCTTACACCAAAATATTTTGACAGATATTAAATAATCAATCTAAACCAGAATAACTAACCTCTTGGTAAGCTGCAGCATTTCTTCCATGGACCTCAGCACATTGCATAGTACTAATAACCCATTTCCAGTTCTGTCTAACAGCAGTAATACAGTTCTAGAGAGAAAAACACCACGATTTTAATCCAATGGTTGCCCCTGTTCATCGTTCATAAAAATGAAACATAAAATAATAAAGTGTTTTGTACCGAATGTATTTTAACTTGATGAGGCATCATTGTCCTTCATACAATACCAAATTACTACATAATATAATATTTAAATGTTAGGTGAGATTATAAATTCAGCTGTTATATCATCCTGGGCATTGTTTACAATGTCACTGTAAGAAGGCTTGGTTTACCAATCTAAAGTAACCCCCCTTGAACTTAAAATATCCCAGGCGCTATTTAGTCATGAAAAATTGGTAATCATACGAACCTGTGCTGCTCTAGCTAAGCTTTCATTAGTTTGGCTTCTAGCACCTTTTAGTTTATTGTTCTCCCCAATATTAACAAGATGTACTGCTCTAGAATCAAACTCTGTTGACATATCCTACAACATACACATACAATAGGATGCAAGCATGAAACACACGAATCAGAGTTTTCTCCTTTTAAAGATATTGACATAAAGCGACCATTAATAGGGACCTATTTCGGTCAACACAGCAAAGTTAAAAATGTAAAAGTCCTATATAGGTCCTATATGAGTGGTTTGATATTCTATAGAGCATTGCAAATCTTTCGTTAAAGATTGGAAATGGTAAAGCATTTGGTAGTTACCTGTACTAATTCTTCAAGGGAGGCAATTTGTGAAATTACTTCTAAACAAGCCGATCTCTTTGACGACAAGGCCTGTAATAGTAAACAAAAGTTATAAACATCTATATCTTGCAATCCCGAAAAAACATCTTCAATTCAAAATGTCGAGTGAACTCAAATGTACTTTCTCTTGACAGATAAAATTATCAAGACACAAGAATTAGGATATATCAAGAAGTCCTTTGTACCCTGAAATCTCGAAACTAGATATTCCTCACACTCATTCATAATAAAAATTCATATTTACCTCAACCGAATCATAATTATCATTGACTTGTATTGTTTCTCCATTTTTGGGATCCTGAAATATATCAAATATATCATATTTAACAAAGGAAGTATAATAGTATATAGACAAAGGGAGCAAACTCATTTTAGACATCAATGTGTCATCTTTCTAAGAGATGTGTAGATTCTGCATTAGGAATTTTTAATAATTGTCTTTAAAGTTTTTGTTCTCCAGAGCACCCTCTAAAATAATTTAAACTTACATATTTGGCAAGGGCTTTGTGAATGTTATTTCTGAAATCCTTTATCTCACGATCTTTTAATCTTTGTTTTTTCACTGCTTCTAAAACACCATTACTACCCTTACCATACGACGCTAATTCCATTTCCCCCTATAACGCACCACATAACAATATTATAGGGATGTTTATAATACAGAGACTATGCATAAAACCAAAATAAGTTAAAACAATTAGTGGACATGGATATGAAAAATATATATGCAACACATCAGTTGGATAAATGATAATTATTTTTATCCGTTATTGTATAGTTTTAGACTGAATCTGAGTCCTCAAGAACCGACAGCTCGATCTATTACACACAGATATGAATTATCAGCACTTTTCTTTAAGAGGCAAGACGAGTCAAGCTTCCACCAGGCTTTGTTGAAAATTTTAACTTTTTATATCGATATGGTAATGGAAAACAAGATTTTTTTACAGTCCTGTAACGCAGGTGGTTTATAAATTGACATACCGCGTTTTTCTGAAGAATATATTCACGTAGGAACGCACAGTAGGCTTACAGTAGGCTTACACGTATATAACCAAAGAACGTATATGTTTAACAAAATAAGTAAAATAGCATACCTGCTGTTGAAATAACCAATCCATACATTTCTGTACATCTGACTTTGCCATCCTTCTCTACAAAATACAAAAAATCACAACAATTTATCCACGGCATATAGTTATAATAATCGTTAAGAAGCTGGATGCTTTGTTACTGTACGGATCAGAACAACGTTAGAAACGTGAAGAAATGAAGTTTCAAAATGAAACACCCCACCCATAAACCGACCTTCTCTTATCATTTACCCACTTCAAGGCGACAGATCTCATTCATTTCTACCACTAGTTATTCGGTGCATAATGTAGTATTATAGGTGGGGCTTTGAAGTGTAGGAGTCTATAGAGTAATTATAATAATCCGACAGAAATTCCAATATAAATAAAGATATTTTACATATTCATTTTCTAGTCAAAAGGTTTTTGTGTCCACATTTAAGGCTTATTTACATAAGCAGGTGCTCAGAATTAATCTGGTTTGTCGAGACTTTAAGACAATTTTACTCTTTTAAACAGTGTATTTCCGTGTTCGTCATATCGGTTTTACGATCTACGATTGTGTGCTACAGTTTGGTGTGATACGTTTTGTTAAGAAGAAAAAATCGAAAAATCGAACGGTACAATTTGTAAATGTAAGTTCTGAGAACCGATCCAAGTCTGAGCGTAGTCCTGACCGAGATCTTCTCCTATATTGCGAACCATAGAAGATCATTTGGATGATGATCAAGGCTCACTAGGAATGTCAATGTTACTAAATTATAATGAAGTGCAAGAGGTCAGTTAACAAGGGTTAAGCTTGTCACCACTTCAAGATGTTGAACAACTTTTACCACACCCTCATTTGACTTCATTTAACTTGACCTATATCAGCAAAGATAAAGGTGGTTTGTTTTATTGAAGTCTGAGTGATTTATAGCTTTTTAAAAACTTTTATTTTTCTCTAGGAGAATTTCTATTGATCACGAATACCCACTAAGACTTAAAATCTCAAGTTAATAGAAAACTTAGAGTATAGTATCCAATCCATTGGATATGTGCAGATACAAATTACAATACTTTTTACAAATTGATTGCTCTTGCATGAATGCCATAGATCGCTTTCAGGGTAGACGGAAGCTCGCTTGACTTGTGTGACGTTATTCTATTGGTCATGTCAATAAAGTTGTTCACAATCTTCATGTGGATTCATGTTTTCCTGCTTTCAGTTGAATTGATGACCCTGTATTACAGACAAGATCAACCGCAAAATGGGTAAATGGGGTAAGCGGGAAAACAAGGAAGAAATACCTTTCTATACCCATATTCAAGATCTGCATTTGATCGACCTGTATGCCAATATCAGTAGGTATAAATTAAACATGTCCACTCAGCTTTTCAGACGTGTTCATTATTTTAAACTTTGCTATATTTGAGTAATAAAAGATGTTTACTAAAGGAATTAGTTAAAAGTCTAGTACTTGAGATAACAGAATCACGCCCTAACCTCATATATTATATTGTATTTACTATTGACTATTCAACTATTATCATATCAAATATTACTATCAACAGGTTTAACATTAGAAACCCTTTCACCCCCGAATACATATCTAGAATAAAATGCAGCGCTTTGCCGAACTGAATGATTCCCTGGGCTTTCAGGAATACATCATTACATTAAAGAGATATCTAACCTACAAATGTTTCGAATTCTGATGAAATTGTATCAATTTGTTCGGGATTGGACAATAAATCAATGCCCCGTATGCTACAGACTGTGCCCGTAAAAGATCTCTCGACAATTAGAAATCGAAAAAAAGTAGTACGTAAAACTCCATTCATTTCATTTGCACTAATTTGCGCTGTGTAACGCCGTAGGAGAACTGGAGAAGGGTCATATATCATGCAAACAAATAAAGAATATTAGAAATGTATACATACTAAATTTTATCCATACAAATGAAATAGATCACTTCTAAGGAAGGAAATATAAAGGATATACCGTTGGGTTGATATAGTTGAAATATCTCATTATATAATCAATTAATATTTTTATAGTTAGAAATGTTATGCTGATTAATCAAAGTATTTATAATACTGTGTATATACATCGCCTACAGGTTCCCACTAGATTATTCAAACTCTATATTAGGATTTTAAAACCACTTGAAGGCATTCAATAAGTCATATTATACAATATAATCATTCATAACCAGGGGAAATAATAGAACAATTTATTTGAGAATTAATATATTACATGGGCATCACCATCATTATGTCTATAGTCTGAAATTCTTGATTGAACGTCCGTGCATCTTTAATAACAAGAATGAAACATAATTAAACGAAAATTGTAACCATCAGTTGTACTGTGATGCTTGATCACCAGCAATATGGCACCATCGTTATATAACTAACCATATAATTTTACCGACGATAGACATTTCGTAATGCACGATAATTGTTATCATCATCAATATTGGAACATCAACTATTATCCAACAATATCGTAACAACCGCAATATCCCAACAATATCAGAAAATATTAGAATTATAATATATTAACCAACATAATCTACAATATTGTTATACATGTATTCTGCATGATTCACCATCCGGCCAGCAACTGTCTTGGGACATCTGATCACCAACAAAATTAGAACAGCAAATGATATAGTAATGGACACATAGACAAGTAGAGCCATGTTTCAACAAACCAAGAATGAACCAGTCAGAAACTCTAGATTATTATTATCATCTACGCCAATTCATTCCATCAACTATAATGATAGATCTTAACATCAAAAAGGCATTTCAAACACTGTCATCGCTTTGAAAATGGAAACATTGTTCGAATAACATGTATTAACAGTAACTATTAAGAATCTAAAAGATATATCAATATGAAGTATAACCAAATTTCTGAGGAACCAACCAACTAGCCAAGAAAAGTTATTGATATTGTAATATTTTTAATGTCGGAATTTACTTATGTTGTATCAGCGAACATGAAATATTTCTTGTTAAAGATTTAAGGAAACTAATTTTAAAAATATAATCTTATTAAGTAAATCTTAAGAAAAGCCTGCTGGACCTGATGTAACATGATAACCGTCTATAACCTGTATGATCTAAAGCTGTAGGTGTAACAATAATGAATAGAGACAACATATAAAATACTGAAATACCTGGAATGCATAGATGCGTAACTAAGAACAACGTGTTAATGTTATATAAAATGAACTTTTTCGGGATAGACAAATTTTAATAAAGGAAGGATTGATTTCAATCCATTTATGACACAACTGATGGCACCAAATATTCCATTAGTCACTGGCTCAGACATAAAGCTCCCTAGAACATATTCATAACGAATGGTTCAAATTAAGTTTCACAAGGTGCTCGTTTCAGATCAAGGCCTCATTTCGTTAACTAATCGAAGTTGAAATGTTATAAAGAAAAACATGCAAGACATGCTGGTAATTTCTCAGAAAAAAATTATCTAGAAGGAACACTATATAAACTATGACGACACCCACTTTAAGAAAGATGGCTCGGTATAATATTTCTTCATATTTCATACTAGTGTCACGTTTTCATTTTTTAGTTTCTTTGTTAGCAAATAATTATAGTTTCATAAACACACCGTACTATGAACATGATGATAATAAAGGATGCTTTCAAGAGCAAAATATGTAACATAAACACATTGAATATAGTCGGACAAAAACAACATTCTTTATATGGATGGATTAAAAACAAGCGTACACTCGCTATTCAACTAATAACTGTGCATAAATATTTCAGACTGATTTCGTTTTTCTCAATTACTATATTATCCAAAAACGGATGTAGAAAAGGAAAACCACGGCCCATGAAGCCCCAGAATTTAAAATTGAATTGTATATACTACATTTGTGTTTGTAGGAGGTAGGAGGCAGGGGTTTTGAAAATGCTAATCGTGATCATCGTAACAGAACGCACGGAATCGTGCTTTCATATCGAGAAGAGCAACAGAAAAGTAAACCATCTGTTGAAAAAGACTGTCAATATCCGTAAGAAGAAGGACATCATGAATGCCACTATATTTCTTCCCATAGGGGTGCATAGGTTGATGATCGTCTTTTAGCGACACCAAATCGAATCAGAGACTATTTAATTGAATCATTATGTATCTTAATGATGAAATTCATTAAACGAAACGATCAGCGTAATCTCTTTGTTCTGAACGGATTGCACACAAGATATGATCTTACTATGAAATATAATGCACACACCTTATATAGAATTGTTATATTAAATAGTGAAATTCTTTAGAAGATATTTTCTAAATTACTCTAAGTAGTTGAAACAAATTTACCGTTAAAATATGTCTGCGGTCCAAATACAAATATGTATGTTTTCATGCCATTTTTGGGCATATTATTTAGTATTCTTATGACCCACGCATCATGTAACTATGTCAATAAACTAAACAATGTTAAAAAGTTTTAGTCAGTCCTAAATAAATAAAGTAAACTTGTTGCCATCATTATTAAAAGTTGCTGGTAAATATAAAATATAAGCAATACCTGTGTTTGTTGACACAGGGATATCCAGTAAAGTGGTTTTCAATTCTAGTCACTCTTAAGTATATATAAAATCCTATCTTACGGTCAATATACATACAAAATATCTATAAATATATTTATGGCGTATTGACCTTAGAGACACTTTTACTGGATAAAGCGTGAACCTGTTGAACGTTTATACTTCAGAAGTTATTTCACTTTAAAAGCATAGTATTTATGAAAGTTTTCAGCATAACCTGGTTTTCATTGGTGACTATAAAGAAAGAGGGGCATGTTCCGCTGTACAGATTTTGAATATTGTCAGCAAAGCGTATAATGGTATGCACCATTAACCAATGCACTTATCACAAACCAATATACCATAACAATCCAACTTTGTAATTTGCAACGCTGATGGGATATCTTTATATACCTATATGTCTATCATATTATTTTTATGAAAATAAGATCAATGACAGGGCATCATTATCAGTCAATTAAGTTTTAACAATTTCCTGTGTAAATGTCATTTCAATTGTTACC